TTTCGGAGGGAGTAGGGTTAGTAGAGTTTTTAGATCATTGCTTTTCGGAGGGAGTAGGGTTAGTAGAGTTTTTAGATCATTGCTTTTCCGAGGGAGTAGGGTTAGTAGAGTTTTTATATTATTGCTTTTCGGAGGGAGTTGGGTTAGTATAGTTTTTATATTATTGCTTTAATATAATGAAACAAATTCTGCCTTTCTGCATGGCCAGGTGGTTAAGGAGCTCGTCTCGCAACCTGCGGGTGGCGGGTTCGAATCCCCGTCCCACTAAACATGCTCGCCCTTTCAGCCGTGGGGGGCGTTATAATGTGGCGGTCAATCCCACTATTCGTTGGTAAAAAGAGTAGCCCAAGAGTTGGCGGTGGGTGGTGATGACTAGCTACCTTCCCTCTAGTCTTTCACTGCTAAATTAGGGACGGCTAGCGCAGATAGCCCTTGTGTAGCTTTGCACGAAATTCAAAAACAAACATTCAGAATTACCTCACCGGTTTTTTGCTTAGTCTATCTTCTTAATGCGACGAGTGTTCTACATGATGGCACAATGTCATTTTCATCACATGACGACTGGCTTCGAATTCAACCTTATTTTTTTTATTTGCAAGGTATTTCACACAAACAACACTTAGCCCACGTGTAATTTCCTAAAAAAAATTAACATTACACTAGATATAATTTCTATGGGCTTTCTCGCCTTTTATAGGTGTAAAATACGCATGCGTATTTCGTTCAAAACCAAATACTTATCACTTTGTGAACAAGCATTCAGACGTTTCTGCATATTCAGCTAAGTTTGCCTTCATTACAACTTTACGTTTACCTTACTTTGCCATAATTTAACTTCGGTTGGTTTCATAAATTGCTATAAACACCTTTTAGCTATCTCTTTTTTTCAGTACGGGTTTTATTCCTCGTTTTTGTTGAGTTTCTTTATTTGAACTGTTAAAACTGTCATAAACTGAACGCTCATAACTGTTTCGTATTCTGTACACTATTATAAATACCATTACTATACTTTATTGTTTACTTTACGTGTAGTTTTATTAAATAAAGTTACGTCTACGTGAGTTTGTCTGTCATACCGCATACATTTTTTTTCAAATAGACCAGGATTTGCCCGGCATGGCCTGGTGGTTAGGGCGCTCGACTCGCAGTCTGTGGGTCGCGGGTTCGAATCCCCGTCATACCAAACATGCTCGCCCTTTCAGCCGTGGGGGCGTTATAATGTGAC